ATAGTTTCCATTATTATTGTCACTTATTTATTTTGGCTGGCATGCAATTTGGCAAGATGTTTTTCACTAGACTCAAACAAAGTGCGTTAGTTTTGTGGTGAATGCTGAAGAGCATACGGGGAGAGTAGAAATAAAAAAAATAAAAAATAGAAAAGAAGAGACAACACACATTTGCATTTAGTTTAATTATAAAAGTTTCTTTCTGCTGGCGTTTATTTTTGTGTCGTAATTTTTTAATTAAAAAACTATTTTGTAGATGTTGCCACAGTCGCCAGTCGCCAGTCGCTAGTTGCCAGTTGCGAGTTGGCAGTTGCCAGGCGACGGCAGACGGCAGACGGCAGACGCTAGACAGGAAAATAACTAACCGAAAATCTCATCGTATCTGTGTTTTATATCCATTCTTATAACCCTTGTCTCAACCGCTCCCCTCCCCTCTTTGCAGATACGCCCTCGTTCGCCATCTCGCGCACACCTGGCTTTGGTTATCCGCTGCGCGAGGGCATCGAAGTTAGCCTCAAGTGCGATGTCGACTCAAATCCTCCGAGCACGCCGCGCTGGCAGAAGGACGACGGTGACACGCCGGTAAGTCTTATAAAACTTATGCATACGTAGGCTCTCCGTCCTTGGCTCAGCATCCTGCTCCTGCATTTGGATTTTGCGAGCACTTTTGTGATTTTTGAGCAAGGAGCAAGTTTTAAATGGATTTTCGTGCAGTTGTCGCGTAAAAAGTTCTTGGACCAACTATTTGCCTTGCCTTAATTACCAAAAATTGTTTACKCATAAGACCGAACGAAACTCATTTCCCCGCCCATCTCCCAGCCAAATCTGTCTCAATTTTTCACTCACTCACTCAGCTCTCATTCTTATTCTCGCATCTCCTATCTCTTTCGTTCCCAGGTACCACAAACTGGCGATGGCTTCCTCAACTTTACCTCCATTCGACGGGAGCATTCCGGCTGGTATAAGTGCACATCCCGGCATCTGAACTTTCAATACTCCTCRATTGGCTATTACCTCAGCGTGCGCTGTAAGTACCACCGCGATTACAAGCACTTCAAATAAATAAGCGCTCGTATGCGTGAAATTGCCTTCAAAATGGCGCGTGATAATATTTTCGCCATTAGTTCTTATATAATACAACAGCAAAAAAAAAAAAAAAAAAAATTAAATAAATGTTGCACGCCCAAAAAAATAAAGGCAAAAAAAGAATTGCGAAAAATTGCCAAAAATTGCTGCGAGGCTTTAACGACACTCGCACATGCTGCGTCCCATCATCAAAATGTTTCGTCTCATTCCTGTTCCGCTGCCTGTCTTCCCTCCTTGCTCCACTAAAACTCGCTCTGATGATGCTCCTGCTGCTCCCCCCTCCTCCTACTGCAGCATACTTTCAAGCATTTCGCTACCCTCCATATTCCATATGCAAAATGTGGCAAATTTCATTGGCACTGGCATTGGCATTGAGCGGGTGTGTGACACTGTCAACCCTCTG